GAAGAGAGGGAGAAGGGAAATGATACTAAAACTTAACTTACATAACATAATGTAACAATAACTTAAAAATAACCTAGAAAAGTTAAAAAAATTACTGTTGTTTTATATATTTATTTTTAAAAATTTTTATTCACTGCTTTTTGCTTTCTTTCCTTCACTTCCACCAGCACTTTCACTGGATAGAGGTCGCTTGGTAAAATATCTATCCAAAGAGGTTTGGCTTTGCCTATTACTACTAATGTTTCTAAAATGACTTAGGCAAATGTCATTACTTCGAGCAGCAATACAGCTAGTGTGAACCTTCTCGGGATGTTTCTTTTCAATAAAATCAGTCACTTTCTGATAATACCTCAAGATTTCCTTTATTGAGTGAGATCCTTCCATGACGAAGCAAACACGCGGACTGAGACTGATGAACAGAAAAACATGTGATCATGGCAGTGGCGCTGCAAATTAACGTTGTATGGTGAGTTTTTGTTTGTATCATGGAGCAAAAATATGTTCAAATTTCATGTCGTATCCTGAAAATTTTGTATGCTGGGGCGTTCGTATCCTGAGGTACCACTGTATTATGAATTCTGGATGATGCTATTATTTTAAATGTTTATGATTTTAAAGGTTTACTATAAACAAAATACAAAACTACAAAAGAAAATGTTTTTAAATGTAGAAAAAGTAATTTTGAAAGTTCAGTTACAATTAAAATAAATGTCTTAATAATTAAAATATACATAAGCATTGTATACAAATACAGATGTGTTGTTTGTCAGATTATGAATTCAAATCTTTCTTGTCAATAATTGTCATTTTTAAACAAAGATTGTTATTTGAGAAGTGTGCCTTATGATCATAATTGTTTGCATATTTGAACTCATTTAAAATTAAAAAATAATGATAATCATAATAATATAAAATTTAATTATGTAAAAATAGATATCATATTTTCTCCTGCATTATATATATGCATAACTTACCTCTTTCATTTTTGGCCAAAATATATCACACAGTTGGTAAGAATACATCATCACACCTTTATCACTATAATGATCCAATACATGTTCTTCTTTCTGCAATTCTTTAAAATTTTTCAAATGTTCGGATGTTAAATTAATTTCAAAATTTTCTGTGATGTTCTATAAAACAAAGATTTCCATCATAATTAATTTTAAAAAATTTAATATTTTTAAGAAATATTCATAAAATTTTTTTGTTTCAATATAAGAAAACATATTATATAGAATCATGCCCAAAATTTAAAATGTAATTTAAATCATACTTTTCATTCTATAATTTATCTTATTCTTTATTTTGCTTTTGCAATCATTTAACATTTTTATTCTTTTACTTCAACTTTAAAAATTATCAATGAAAAGTTATGCCCATGAAACTATGATTATTTATTCCTTTAGAGTTAATTACCTCTGGAAAGGAGTATATATATGAGTATTCTTAACATATTATAATGTTTAAAAATAATGTTAATTTTAAAATAATTAAAAAATTTTTACAAAATAACAATCTAAATTTTTCTAATTTATCAACAACCTCATTTCCAACAACAAGATTTATCACTTCTAACCTCTAACAATTTTTCATAGTCAAGAAGTAAATGCTGCAAAGAACAATAATTTTGTTTACAAAAATGATGAAAATTTGTTCTACATAATAGTATACCATACTTTTCTGAAACCAGATTTATCAGTATTTATTTATTTTACTAACATTAAAAAAAAAATTTAAGATTAAAGTTAATATTTCTATTGTATAATGTGAATACCTATGAAAACATTTCACTTTATTATATTTGAAATTTAATTACTGAATGTTTACCATGGGCACATTTGGAAATTGTAACTACCGGCAGTTACCGGTAACACCGGTTACAATTTCCAAATGCACCCTGTATGCTGTTTCCAAATGGTTACATTGAATGTGGATGTTAATTTGAAATAAATATTAATATATAATTAAATTTTAAATTCAGTTAAAATAGATTCTTAAATTTGTTAAATGCTTTTCAAAACATTTATTTGTAAAATTTGTATGCATTCTTTAAATTCAAAGTTAGCATTACATTAATAAAAAATCAATTTTTAAAATAATGGAAATCCCATTATCATTAGAATCAGAATTACTCAACTCTAAAATAACATTAGATATAATAGAATAGTATTTATTTGTTTTTAATAAATATAGATCAAGTATTCTTAAGTTTGCAGAAATTATGTCTAACTGAATAATCCTTATAATAATGGATGTGCTTCTGATAAACTGTCACCATTGAATGAACAATGATGATGATACATTAATACAATCTATACTTTGTGTTAAAATTCTCTCAATACAGAGAAATATGAAAATTTAAATTTTGCTGATTTTGCTAACTAATAAAAATCTGAAATTCGAATCGTATGTCTAGCTAGGGACGGACTATATATAAATGTATGGGAAGATTAGATTTTAAACGTCGAGGAAAGTCACTTAAAATATTTTGTTATCTATTCTTATCCGTTAAGATTTCAATAATATATTTCCAGAAGAAAATGAGAAACCAGAGATCACTAACCCGGTGACCCTTGTTTGGGATAAAGTTAAGCTTTTTGTTATATGTCACAGTTAAACATTTCCGTGTATTGTTTCTACGTAACGAAAATAACTTTCCATCTTTTGGACGATTTCCTAAATTGATCCATTCAAATATAAGTTATTTTCCAGGTTGTTACTCTCCAGACAGCCTTTCTTTCCGATTAATTCGAAAGTAAAATTATTATATATTTATATTTAACTTTTAATATTTTGAAAAGTAAATAAAGTGAGAACGAATTTAACACTTTAATTTCTATATTTATATAAAAATGAAACTAATTATACGAATATTCAATTGAAGCTTTTAAAGCAAATCACTTAAAAATTATAAGTAATTAAACTAAAAATAAATATTATATTTTTAGAATATTCATAAAAGTAAAACAAGTTTCGATTTAATTATTCGAGATTACCAAGAAACGTCTTTAATCATAAAGCGTGCGAGTAGGCCAACTTATCCTTATCTCGAGATCGTTTAAATTACTTTTAAACATTAAAATAATTATTTCCGCCATCTTAGATACAATAATGATATTCTATAATAAAAAAATGATCATCTTTACATTCCATTTTTAAAGATTTAACCGAATTTAAAGTTAAAAGAAAAATCAGTCTTAAAATATGTTAAAGTATCTATTTAACCCAACAATACAAGAATATAGATATTTTTTAAAAATAGAAATCAATTTATAAATGTTTCCGTTATGGAAATGTGACCGAGTGATGGTCAGAGAATATGGCAATGGTAACGTGACATAGGATAGTCGTCCCGTTTCCTACGTTATTCAAACGACTCTCGCCATCGACTGGATCGGGGATACGTCCAGTCGACCTCAATCTACCGGTAACATGCCCAACAGCACCCAGCTGTATATTGCAATTGCATTTTCCGGGTGATACAAACAACCTGCCTACACTCAACAATCGAACGAATGAATACTGAACTTTGAATATCCAACCCCCTAAGATACCATGACGCTTCTACACTTCAGGTAAGGTCATTTTTACTTCCTTAATCTATTAAATCTGTACAGATTTTATATATATATATATATATTTTTTTATTGTGTGCTTCTCTAC